TATTACAACAAAAATAATAAATTATATTATATTCGTTGATATGCTGCAAATTTGGACTATAGAAAAATTTTAAGTAGTAAAATTTTCTTTATAAATTAGGCTGGTGATTTGAGAAATAAGGTCTATTAGAGAACCAGCATACCCACCTAAAAAATGTAGAAAATATAGTAAATTATTATGCATGAATCTAAAAAAAGAGGATGAAAATTAAAATATATTATATCAAAATTTTTCATAAATTTCCATCCTTCATTGTCCTTGTAATCTAAAGGAAATTTAGAAAAAAATTCAATCTATACTTAAAATAATTCTGTTATGGCTAGAAACATTCTACCTTTAAAACTCAAACTTATGGAACCTTGTGAAGAGACAAATTCAATATGGTGGAGAGGAGGTTTAAATAAATCTGTAATTTGCTTGATAATAAATTAAAAAACACCTTGAATGATTGCAAATAAATATATAACTCTATAATTAGTATGAGATAAAAATTTAATGACTATAAATTAATTTTCACTATTTTAAAGAAAAAAAAGAATTAGAAAGAAGATAAGAGTATGGGAATATTAAATAATTATTTAAATAAAGTTGATCAGATTTTAATAATATTATCTAATTTGTTCTGATATTTTATAGATATTAAGTTTAAATTAATTTTTTTTGCAATTTTAAATCAATTTTATTTTGAATATCATATATTGTCAAAGTTTTGTAATTATTTAATTAATCATCAGATATATAGCCTAATTCGATTAATAAGTTGATAAAAATTATCAAAGAGAATGACTATTTTTTGTGATTTATTTGACAAACATTAACAATCAAATTTGGCTTACTTTTTAGGAAAAATCATTAACATAAGGAATAATGAAGAATTATCCATTTATAAATTAATTAGTGATTTTTTGTTGAACAATAAACTAACAAAATCTAATGAGTAGTTTTTATGCAAATAAATTAATAATAGTGAATAAATCCTCTTTAGTGCTTCGATTAATGATAGACTAGCAATAAAAATGAATTAAGAATTATCTAAAATAATAATGATTTAAAAATGATGAATCTTGTTTTATACTCATATGAATACTTAATTTAATATCTCTACTTTGCATTTACTATGCAGATGTACACATGGATACAAATCTTTGGATGTATCAATGGTGAGAGTCTAAAAAGAATAAATTTGAGTTGATACAAATGATTCATTTGTGGATTTACTTTGTCCATTTCACATACTTCTTTTCTATATCCACTTCTACAATTATGATATCATTTGTTGAAAATGCAAATGCTATTTACTTAGCATTTTTATCCTATTAATCATGATTATAACAATAACCTTAACAATGACTATTATATGTTCTATATTAAACTATTAATATCATAATACATACCCTCCACCGAGAGAATAACAATCAGTATAATTCTTACTCTACACAATATCCTTAAAACCAATTCCTATCATAATATAAGACATTTCAATAATTTTAAAAGCAAAAAAGATCACTCCATTCTTAGGAATCATTTAATCACACATACAGCATTACCATCCATCAGAAGAAGTTTCAATAAGTTTTGCATTTTAGGTTACTGAACATTTATTATGCTTATAAGTTGTTGAGAATGTCAGTTATTTTGAGAATGATGAAAGCTACTTGTAATAAAGATACTAATTATACCACAGTTTGCTATAACTATTAAACAATTTGTTCATTCTTTTAAATTGATTTTTAACATCTTTCTAAATCTCCTTCCTTTTCTTAAAGTTTAATTTCGAATTATTTTTCTATAAGTAATTGAATATAATTTATATTTACCTTATAACTCATATTCTTTTAGTTTAATTGACAATTATTCCTTTTAATTCTTTAGATCTGTAATAATAATAATTTATTCTTCATGATGTTTCTTAAAATCAATTATCATTTATTGATTCAACTAAATAATATTTTCATTTTATTTAATTTGATCAAATAAGTATTCTTTATCTTGTTTATTTTAATGTAATTCAGCTTAAATTTTATCAAATTAAGTTAGTTTTATAATTAGAGAACAATCTTAATCTAATTATGATACAAATTGATTAAACTAATAAAGATTAATAAAATAGTACTTGCTATAATTAAACATCTTTAAATTCAGTTGATAAATTATTTATTGTTAACATGATTTATTCATATTAATGTTAAGCAGCTTTTATGATATCCTAATAAATCTTAAGGTGTTGCACTTATAAATTAAGTAACTTAATTGATTGTTTATTTTAAATGTGACTCTCTTCTTGTACACTTTCATTTAAACTTTACTCCTTTATTATCATATTAATCTTATTAGTGGATAATAAATCATTTTATAATAGTTTTCCTAAATTATTTTAAATCATTTCAAATTAATTTAGATCTTCTTTTTGTATATTAAATTACTTTTCAAACAAAGCTTGGAATTTATCAGTTTAACTTAATATTTCTGTCAATTCATTAATTTAGTCAATATTCATTTAATAAATCATGTTTTCATTAAACTACTCATTATTATCATTTTGAGAGAACATAGAATATTAAATATTAACTTTATTGATTATTTCTGAAATTGTAGAATTATATTTTTGTTTAATTTCCTCAAGAATTTGAATGATTTAAATTTATTTTGAACATCTTTAATTCTAAAATTACTTAACTTAATCACTTGTTTATCCTAAATATTCATTCCATTTATAATTAGCATCATTTATAGTTGTGTATTTAATTGGATCATTTGATTAGATACACTCTACACAAGCTAATCTTGATAATTTAGTTTTATCAGAATTCAAATTAAACATGATAATTTCTTTTCCATGTTTATTACATTAGATATTCAAACTTGGTGTTTTCTAATTTTATTTATAAGGTAATAATTACTTATGTGTTTTCATCCTTTTTAGAATTTAATTATAATTATTTAATTTCTGAATGTTCATCTTCCACTTTAGTTTTTTCTAAGGTTTGATTAATTTAAATAAGAATTGGACATTTAATTATGAATTACAATTACTATTAGATTGAATCAACATAAGAATTGTCATCTATAGATTTATCCAATTATTTAGGTAATTCAAAACTGAATGATCCTTTGTAATTCTTTGATAAAAGTGTTACATCTTCTTCAAAAGAAGACACTTAGATTTTTGATTCTGATTACTCTAATTCATTTTCCATTTAAGTTATTTTCTAATCTATATTACATTAAACTTTGTCTAAAGTATTATTAATAGACATTTTCAATTCTTTCACTTAGGATTGAATTTCCCTATAATTCTCAATCTTTCTTTAATATTCTTTGAGTTTATAACTCAATTGTTCATTTTTCATTTGTTTAATCATTGTTTTAGTCTCTTCAACCAAAGCCATATTTTAAATATCAATCTTCTCCATTAGAC